TCATTTCATTGCCTTTAACCATCCCTCCCACACACAAAAATAAAAGTTGTACTAACCCCCATGCCACATAAGGCTCCACAGTTCGCAGCATTTTCAGAGATGTTGGCGACAATTTAACAAACGTGCCACTGTAGATCTTTCTCAACCGTAGCCTATGTATGACATGCCGCACGCGTAGGCTCACACCTTTAATTCTAAAGCAAAGTAGGAGAAATCAGCCAAATTCTCCCCTTGGACAGAAAGCTCCATAGTAAGCAGAAACAAATATAGGTATGCATCAACAATCACCTTTTACATTTTCTTGAAAGTTGTGTCCTAAAGCTACAGCCTGATGTTTCATTTCTCCCTTCAGCAGGAAGCAACAAACTATGAGCCCTGGCTTAGCGGAGGCATAGGGAACCTCCAGCCCACAGGTCACATTTGGCCCACAAGGCTGTTTTTCTCTAGCCAGAGCTACTCCTTTGCCATCAGTTGTGGAGTGGGTAAAATCATAACTGTAAAGGGACCATAAGTGGCCTGTTTCTCTGCAAACCGGATTTGACAGTAAGTGCAGGCCCCAATTGACAAAGCAAGAAGTGCTTTGTTCTCCAAAGGTCCTTTGAAATCAAGCCATTCTGTAAAGGAAAAAGCTTCACCTAGTGTCATAATGAAGTGCACTATGGGTGTGGGAGGGGGGACATCAGGAACCCGTCACATCATTGGATCAAATCCCCTACCCTTGGGCTTAGCACAATGTCCAAACCAATGCTCATGGTTTGCTTCACGCAAACAAACCAAAAGCAGGAAGCCAAGGTTTGCTCTTACTGCTTTTATTCAGTGTTCAGTTCAAGAAGGTTTTTTGTTCTGTCATAATTCATCAATACCACAAATTCACTGTTCGGCAAACGTGTCCGTGGATGGTAACTATTTTTTTAAAAAATAAAAAAAAATAATCCACATAATCTGCACAAATTGGAAAAGTAGAATGAGCAAAGCAGTGAAAACCAGCAGATTGCTGTAAAACTAAGTTACAGATGACAAACAGATGCTTACTCTGCAATCCGTACTGCGAAAGCCAGTTTGTGTCCCTCAGGCATTAGCAGCAGCCGGGGCTTATGTTCCATGCGCCTCAAACGGACATCATCTCTGTGTTTCCGATGAGAATCCCGCAAAAATGTCTCAAGACGTTTGAATCTGATTTGTTTTCCTTTCTGATGCTACAATAAGGAAATTAAATTTTAGAAGACATGCCTTTATTTTAAGTCACTATCTGCATGCTACTCAGTTCAGTACATAATGGTAAACATGCTCAGCATGTTTTTTCAATACAAAATGTTCAGTACAATGACATGCCAGCTGTTGTACAGCAATGAAGAGTATCACAGTTTTGTATCTTTGGGGTTATGCCCTAAAATACAGGGAAACTGTTATAAACAAAATAAAGCAATAACAGGATATGAACTTCCAATACATCTATTCATAATGTGTTTTATTAGCAGCCGCAAAACACATAATATACCTGGCTAACATGTGGCCTACTGTTATAACTGGAAAAAACACTCCCTTCCTGGATGACAGCATAAGAATATGGGAGCAAGCACACCTGAGTGACTGATAATGTAAAGGTCAAATAACTTATTGAAAAACTGAGCATTTTCAATACGTATCAATACAATAAGTTACAGGGCAATGTTTAACCACAAAGTTTGTTGGGAACAGTACAGAAACAGATTATCTTAATTTAACCTAACCTTATTTCTGCTCTCTGAACTGAAATACTTATGTGGTTACTTCTTTTTCCTTTTAGAAAAAGGGCTGGATTTCAGTTTAAGGAGCTTAATCTACAATTGGGGCAGGCGGGTTACCATGGAAAAGTAGATGGGATGTGATAGAATTTGGAACTTTATATCAAAGAGAGCATCCTTGTTTGATTCAGTCACCAAATGGTTCAAGCAAGTCTTGGTTACAGTCATACAGAGGTACTTCAAGAAAAAGGTTTGATAAAGGATGGACAGAAAAAGCCATTCTAAGAATACATTGTGAGGGAGTATTCTTACAATACTGGAGAGGTGAAAAGGGTGATAATGTTTCCTACAAATCCAAGCGAAGGGACGCGGGTGGCGCTGTGGGTTAAAGCCTCAGCGCCTAGGACTTGCCGATAGAAAGGTCGGCGGTTCGAATCCCCGCGGTGGGGTGCGCTCCCGTCGTTCGGTCCCAGCGCCTGCCAACCTAGCAGTTCGAAAGCACCCCCGGGTGCAAGTAGATAAATAGGGACCGCTTACTAGCGGGAAGGTAAACGGCGTTTCCGTGTGCGGCTCTGGCTCGCCAGAGCAGCGATGTCACGCTGGCCACGTGACCTGGAAGTGTCTGCGGACAGCGCTGGCTCCCGGCCTATAGAGTGAGATGAGCGCACAACCCTAGAGTCTGTCAAGACTGGCCCGTACGGGCAGGGGTACCTTTACCTTTACCTTTTACAAATCCAAGCAAGACTACATCCTTCTAAAGCAAAAAGATATACACCCTTGATTTCTACCACTTCTCTTTTCCCAAGGATTTTAACTGAAACCTGATTTTACATTACATGCATTATTTATCCAACATTTATTACAGCTGGCCTGATCAAGGGAATTCCTGCCTGAGCTGATCAGGGGAGCGTACAATGTCCTGACCTACAATATGCCTCCCCTACCTTTCTTTTGTCCAACAGCGCCTGCTTTGCTTGGGTGGCTTTGATTGCTTGATATGCCTTTCTTTTTTTCAGTAGATTTTCTGGCACCCGGGGAATCTTCTTTGGTGGTCTAAAACACAAGAGTTTGAACGGGTCAGACAGAACACAAAAACAGATCTAATGGAAAGCGATTTTCACACATTCATATACACAATGCATTGCACAAATGGGTCCTATGCAAGGACTTAATTCGTTCTAGTAAACATACACACAGAATCCTAGAAGCAGTCGTTTTCCATATCGTACGATCTCCCTCCACCGATCCAGTACAAAGCACTGTGACCCGTATCTATTGTTCTTACAGGCCTCTGACTATGCCTCCATCCAACAAACAAAGCAGAAGCCCAAGCCCTCCCCGAGGATGGACACGGATTCTCCCCCGGTCTACTTCTTCCCCCTCGAAAACTCACTCAGGCTCCGCCATGTTTCCTCGCCACCTGTGTCCCGCTTCGATCCACTACGCATGCGTACCCCTTCCGGAAGGAAGCGTTTCGCATCTCACGCACAGGCGTGTCGAGGCGCTGCCCTTAAATGGCATGGTTTAATCCGCTCTAGAGTCTATCTCTATGGTTGTCGTCCTCAAGAGATATACGGTAACCCTAGCGTCATAGAGCTAAGAAAATTTAGTGACCCATCTCATTGTGCGAACTTCCGGGTTCATTTTTAAAAATAGGTTCCATCCTGGGGAGAGCAGTGAGAGCTGCCCATAAAAGGAAATACGCGGAGAATTCCAGGGTTTTAGGGTAGCTGTCATAAAGCAGCAGCGCTCAGAAGAAGAAAAAAACCAGTGGAAAATGCAGCTCCCTCCCCTTCGTGTCACATTTCGTGTTGAAAAAAACGATCTTCAGTTTTAAACCCCTTTTTAAATGTTCATGCTGATGCCTTGTGAGAGTGGGGCGAGGGGCGGTGAATGACACATGGGTTACAACAGCCTTGTAATGTAGTCTAGTATGGATATGTTCCGTTTATGCATGTTAAAAAATACCCCCCCCGAAAGAAGCTCCCCACTACTGTTTACACGAAAGAAGAGCTGAATTATAAGAATAAAGAAAATTCCTGAGTTTTGCTGCTGTCTTTGCGGCAGCGGAGAAGGGGGTTTGTAAAACGAGAGCCTTTTCCACGGATGTCCATTCTCAACTCTCCCAGTTGCGGGCAACTGGGGTTATTAAAATGGGGAGCTGTCCTCCTCATGGTCATACACCAGGCAACATCCCAGGGAGGGAGAGAGGTGAGTCGGAGAGAAGAGTTCAATGCTGTGGCGCCCAAATTGTGATTTGAAAATTGTGGAGTGGCTCCTGCCAGGGCAGCATACTAGGAAATCAAGTTATTGGACTTGGAAGTGGAATATCTCATTTCATTGGAGAAAACAGGAGTGGTGATTATTCTAACACTTGAGGCCCAATTTATTTTTATTGACATAGCTGTCAACTTTCAGATTTGAAAATAAGGGATCAGCAGCCTCGAAAATAAGGGATCAGGAATCTCACCTGTCCTGGGGACAGTCTACGGGATAGCAGTGGGAAACGGCGCTGGAATAAGGGAATTTCCCACACAAAAAAGGGAAGGTTGACAGCTATGTTTATTGATTGAGGGTCGTTTTGTGTGTGTGTTTGTGTGTGTGTGTGTGTGTGTGTGTGTGTGATGGGATCTTGAGAGGGACGCGGGTGGCGCTGTGGGTTAAACCACAGAGCCTAGGACTTGCCGATCAGAAGGTCGGCGGTTCGAATCCCCGCAACGGGGTGAGCTCCCGTTGCTCGGTCCCTGCTCCTGCCAACCTAGCAGTTCGAAAGCACGTCAAAGTGCAAGTAGATAAATAGGTACTGCTCCAGCGAGAAGGTAAACAGCATTTCCGTGCGCTGCTCTGCTTCGCCAAAAGCCGCTTAGTCATGCTGGCCACATGATCTGGAAGCTGTACGCCGGCTCCCTTGGCCAATAAAGCGAGATGAGCGCCGCAACCCCAGAGTCGGCCACGACTGGACGTAATGGTCGGGGGTCCCTTCACATTTAATGGGATCTTAAGGGTGAAGGGTGGGAAATTAATAACTATTATAATGAAAAATGTTTGCCAATTATATAGAATGATCCTAAGTGTTCAGATAGCACTTTTTTAAAAAAGCACTTTACATATACAGTTTTTCAGGTATCAAAATTAATAGAGGGAGGATCTTGGTAGACCCTCTTAAGTGTCGGAAATCGTGGCCAAGGAGACGGTTTTTTCTGTGGAATCCCCTAAACCCCATTTCCAACTGGGGCAGGTGGAGCAATGCATCATTCTCACAGGGATACTAATCCAAATATAGTGTACATATTTAAGATCTAGTATGTGTTTTCAGTAGATTCATGGACTGCTGGATGACTGTCCATGGTGAAGGCTAGGACAACATGCCAACTCCATGCAGTGGACCAGACTGGTGCTCTCACATATTCATACTGGCTAAAAGGTATTTTTATCATACTATTTTTAGACCACATTATGTAATCTCATAATAACTCTTCTTATATCACAGCCAAATAAACAAATGTGATAATGATTCATTGCTGATGCAGCTTTATGGGCAGAAAAGCTGTGATGCAGTGCAGCATCATTCCAAATAGGCAACTGAACTTTAAAACCACAAGATCCTTGATGCAATGCAAGAGCAATCAGAATCCTGTACATGACAATATTATGGAGAGCTTGAACTATGTCAAACTTTTTTTAAAAAAAAAAAAACAAGGAATTATGAACATGAACATATAACTGGGCGAACTTTGTCATAACCAGTGGATTTTCTATTGAAACATCTGCAAGTCATCCCAGTGACTTAACAAATGACCAAATTTTTTTAAAAAATTAAAAAATTATCCCCATCTCATTATGGTAACTGCTGGGAGCATTAAGCACTGATAATGGTTAGATCTCTCTTGCTTGTGCTATAAGCTTCTACCTAGGAATGTATTTTAATCATGGCCACACCTTTTAAATTAGCTTTAAGAAAGGTTGACTTGCTGGTGTTCCACCTTTATTTTCTTAACACTTAGAGATGTGTTTGCCAAGCATTGTTTCTACCCCAAAATGTTAATGAAGTTCAATATCTCACTTTGCAGGTGCAAATTAAATCCAGTTGCTCTCTGCAATGTCTCCTCTCACAGTATATGTAACTAAGGAAAATTTGGATCTCCATAAATGTGATCATAGTAGCCTCATGCGATGAGATTAAATGCTTGTGCAGTAAGTCTCATAAAATATACTGTAATCAAATGGTAGAATTATGCTAAAGTCATAGCTGTCAAGTGTCCCTTATTTGAAGGGACAGTCCCTTATTCCAGCGCCATGTCCCGCTGCTGTCCCTTATTGATGGATGTCCCTTAAATGTCCCTTAAATGATGTCTCTTAAATTTCAAAGGAAGCAGCTCCTCTCCCTCCCTCCCTGCCGGCCAGGGAGGAGGGAGGCTCCAACTGTGTTGCTTGGCTGTGTTGCTCACTCAATAAGAAGTCTAAGAACGACTGGGGAGTGGAGCTTGCATGCCTTGTGTGTGGCTAGTTAATGCAAGCTGAGGAGGTTTTTGAATGCTGGACGCCATTTTGTTGCACGTGCTGCCGCAAATTTTGCAGTGCAAAGCCAGGCCGGGGAGCCATCTTAAGTTGAGGCTGCATAGGCCTTGTGGTGCATGTGATTCAGATTCTATTCAGTTGAACCTCTGGTTACAAAGTTGGTTGGACAGTGTTCTCGAAGCTACCAGCATGTGTTTGACCAGACTGCAGGAGGACAGGAAGACTGGAGTGCCTGGAACAGGTGAGGCTGCAGGTCCCTTATTTTGGCTGCTGGTCCCTTATTTTCAAGGCTGCTGGTCCCTTATTTTCAAATCTGTAAGTTGACAGCTATGGCTTAAGTCCATTAAAATCAATTGACTTAAATATACTTAACTCTTGTGTTGGGAGTATGGCTTTAGTTATGTCTGCAGTATTCATCTTCAAAACTCCCATCTTGGATAATTTTGAAGCAGGGTGAGCAGTGATAGCAGTTAGCAAACTACTGTGGGGTTTTGTTGGGAGCTGAGAGAATTTCTCTCCTTAACAATTTTGCTTTAAGTAGGATTTGATTTGATTACATATTCCCGGTCTCTTTGATTAATTGATGTAAATTTGTATAAACATATCTGGTGTAAGAGCTCTGCCATAAAGTAACTTTATCCTTAGAGACATGTAATCATAATATAAATATTATATTACAAATATTGACGTTATAGCCAATGCAGGTATCAGGGTCATTTGCACAGCTGTGTATATATTTCTGCTCCTTCCAACAAATCTGTGATATTCATTGCGCAATATTTTTTGGCAACAATACATGTGCTATGTTATGAAAATTAATAGTTTCAGTCTGTAGTGTTTCCTTCATCTTAAGTTATTCTTCCATGCTGTGCAAGTAATCTCATATCCTTTGTTTTGTGGGACAAGAGTTTAGATATTGATTCTCACAGGAGAGCTAAACAGGCAATAGTATCTGGCTAATGTTTGTGAACATATATAATTCACATTAAAATATGGTTTTGAATATAATATATTAATGCATTGGCAAGGCGTAATCACTGTAAAACAATTACAAAATCTCCCATTGGTTTGAAAGCCATCAGGATTTGGTGTAAATGCCAAAAAGAGACAGAAATGACAAATACTAAATATTTTAAAATTAAAAACAATAGCATCAGAGCATCTTGAGTCAGGGCATTTTAAAACTCATCCTAAGCAAACTTGAAGCAATACATTTCTTTTTGCCTTGCATATTTTAAAATCTAGGGCAGCTGATCAAAAACCAATCATGGAAGACCCGCATTAAAACAAGTACATGGTTGCCTTCTCCATGAGCAGGTAAGGAGTTCTCTTGGGGGGAGGGGGACCAGTCAAATATGTGCACCAACTGGACAGCAGATATAAAATATTTGAAGGCAAAGCTGGAACAGACGCGTTGCATGTGCAAGTTCTTCTATTCCATCCCTGTTTTTAACTCATTGTAACCCACTCTGACTGGAACCTGCTGGTGAAAAACAGATCATCATAATACCCACCACCATCTCCAGTTTAGGAGGGTCTCTGATGGCAGAACCGAGAAAGATTTATTCCTAAAACCTTCGATAGCTGATGCCAGAGAACATAAAGCAGTGCAGTACTTGGCTAGATAGACCAAGGATCTGACCATATACATTCACCTGTGTTACCTGCATCACGTAGCTCTGTTGCCTGAGTACATAAGGTGTAAGTAATTTGTAGAGTTAATTGGTGCCTGTTTGTTGCTTACAGAGTGGGGTTGCTAGTGTGGGGGTTACTGGGCATGAAGAGTTGCAGGGGGGCTTTGTAATACATGTATGTATATATATGCATGGGGTTGCATAGGATGTATCCATTAGGTGGCTCCCTCTACAAACATTAAAGTCCTGACAAATTTTCGCTTCATAATTTACAATGCATGCACACCGTATCGTTTTGCCAGCAATTGTTTCCAGAAGCTTTAAGGGGGCAGAAGAACTTTAAGAACTTTTGAGCTGTTGCTCAGAACTTCACTAACCCAGAAAACTTTTCACAGTCTGCCATCTCACCTCCCTGCTCACGTTTCTCTCACCTTCCACCCATGTGCACGAAGACCTGCCAACTGAGGCAGGCTTTTCTGACATCTAATGTAGAGGATGTGAATATGCCCAGACTGCCTTAAGGACACGGCCAGCTGGCTATATCCCAGCTTGCGTCTGCCACCACCTCTCCACTCACCTGAATTCCTGAGAAAAAGAAACCCATACTAAGAGCTCCCCAGTCATCACTAAGGATGGAAGGCCACGTTCATTTCAGTTCTGTTTTTCATTTTTCCAGCCTCAAATTCAGTTCTCCAAATTTCTGCAGCAACTTGTGAATTATTTTTTTTTAATCCTCATACAAATTATTCAGCATTTTAGCGTGAATTTCTCTTTATAAACACATTTTTGCCTGCTGTTTTGACTAATATACACATTGTTGCTAGCAATCTATCCTAGCATACAAATGCACTTTGTATGATAATTTCACTAATACGTTCATTACTGCACTGCAAAATTTGGATTTATTTGGTTCTCATCTTGCTTCAGAAAGTATGAATTTGATAGATTCAGCTTAAATGTGAACTGAATCCAACCCCTCCCCCTAAAAAAAATTCTAAGTATAGTGTCAAGGGAAGTAATAGTACCATTGTATTCTGCCTTGGCCAGACTCTACATGGAACAGTGTGTCCGGTTCTGGGCATCACATGCTGATAATAATAATAATAATAATAATAATAATAATAATAATAATAATGTTTATACCCCATCCATCTGACTGGGTTTCCCCAGCCACTCTGGGCTGCTTCCAGCAAAATATAAAAAATAATAAAATGTTAGGCATTAAAAACTTCCCTGAACTGGGCTGCCTTCAGATGTTTTCTAATAGTTGTGTAATTCTTTATCTCCCTGACATCTGATTGGAGGGCATTCTACAGGGAGGGCGCCACTGCCAAGAAGGATATTGAGAAGTTGGGATGTGTTTGGAGGGTGACCAAGATGATAAATGGGGTGGAAACCAAGCCTTATGATAAATGATTGAGGGAGCTGGGTATGTTTAGTCTGGAGAAGAGAATAATAATAGCCATCTTCAAATGTCACATGAACGATGGGGTGAGCTTGTTTTCTGCTGCTCCAGAGGGTAGGACCCAAGCCAATTGATTCAAATTGCAAGAAAGCAGATTCCGACTAAATACTAGGAAGAACCTTCTGACGGTAAGTGCTTTTCAACAGTGGAACAGACTACCTACGTAGGAAGGTGGTAGGCTCTACTTCATTGGACGTTTTAAAGCAGCGGTTGGATGGCCATCTGTCAGGAATTCTTTAGCTGTGATTCCTGCATTGCAGAGAGTTGGGATAACCCTTGGGATCGCCTTCCAACTCCACAATTCTGTGATTCTACAATTTGGTGTATAGGATAATAATGTACACAGTTTTGGTTACCCCATCTCAAAGAATATATTTTTGATGGACAAAATACAGAACAGAGTGACTAGCAAATCAGATATGCTTGCTCCTAAGTAAGTCCCACTGAGTCAAATGGGCCATACTCGAAAGAGTGCTTAGGACTGCAGGCTGAAATTTATCATTGGGGTGGAGTTTTGTTCATATTTACACAGAAGTATGTTGTACTGTGGGACGCGGGTGGCGCTGTGGGTTAAAGCCTCAGTGCCTAGGACTTGCCGATCGAAAGGTTGGCAGTTCGAATCCCCGCGGCGGGGTGTGCTCCCGTCGTTCGGTCCCAGCGCCTGCCAACCTAGCAGTTCGAAAGCACCCCCAGGTGCAAGTAGATAAATAGGGACCGCTTACTAGCGGGAAGGTAAACGGCGTTCCGTGTGCTGCGCTGGCTCGCCAGATGCAGCTTGTCACGCTGGCCACGTGACCCGGAAGTGTCTGCGGACAGTGCTGGCTCCCGGCCTATAGAGTGAGATGAGCGCACAACCCTAGAGTCTGGCAAGACTGGCCTGTACGGGCAGGGGTACCTTTACCTTTACCTTTATGTTGTACTGTGAGTCTCCTCCCAGATCAGTATACCTAGGATTGTAGACTTAGGTTCTTATCCATATCTTTCCTTCTGTTTCTCCAAAAATGGTCATACTTTCTAGTATCTTTTGATTAATATACAGGACAATTCTTTGGATACCTTTGAGGTTCGCCCCCTCTCTTGCCAGAAACTACTTTGAAGCTACAGACGGCTGAAGTGGTTACCCTGCAGCTGCAGAGTTATATAAACTCAACCCCATAAATTCGATGCTGCTTTAATAAGCAAGGATTTGGACCTGTCATTCAGCAGAGAATATCGAGGGTGGCTGCATTTCTTTGGGGGAGAAAAGAGAAGTTTGCTCTTTGCATGCAGTACATTAATCAGAAATTCTACTCTTTATATTAGATCTGTTCAAATCATGTAAATCCAAATTAGTAAATCTGTTAAAACAAACAGGTGAACAGATCAGGTTTCGCTTGGCACCCAAAATGACAGCACCAAGCAAATTTGCCATGGGAAGGAAGTTCACAAATGGGTGCCCCCACATAAAAAAAACCCCTCTCTTTGGTAGCCTGTCATCTGAAGGTGGTAGGATCTCTTTTAAGGACTTACTGGAGGAGATTTTTAGAATATTATTGCTACTATTCATTACCACCATTGGTAGTACTTTGTCCTCTATTTAAGGCCTAAGATAACAAGAATGGTGAGTTTATGCTTTCTGGAGCAATATTTTTGTCTGCCTGTCTATATTTCATTCTATTTTAGCCATCATTAAACCAATTACCAATTTCAATGTGAGTTGGACTTGCATTCTGCTTTGACTAGAGCTATTGCACTAATGGGCTACTCACAAGATTTTCTGAACCAGTAAACAAGTGCTTAGGATGAGATACACTGAATGCTTTTAAAGCTGAGGAAGTAGAAGGAAATCCACGGTGTTCATTTTTATTATTCTGAAATAGAAGGTTAAGGAAATATGATGTGCTCTTCAAAAGTGTGACTTTGGTACTGTGTGAAATAAATCATCATTAGCAGTTTGGTGCCAATTAACAAAGGAAATGAGTTGTGAGGACATGCTGGTACTTGGCACTTTAGGGGAGAATTAATTACAAGTGCTTAGAACACCTCTGACCCATACTAGCAAAAAGTTTGAAACTATGGTTAATATGTGCAGAGGCGGACAATCTTTTTGTTCTTGTTGAGGAACATTATCCCTCAGGAGTACTTTGACAGGGGCAAGTTACCTACAGTGAGCAGGGCTGGAGTCAAAATGAGCAGGGCTGCCAACGAAACTTGGGAGGGAGTTAAGAGCAATGGGCCCTTTTCTATCTCTTTATTCATTTCCTCTCTCCCTTTCTGCCATCTCCTTTTCCTCCTTTTCACCATGAAATTGTGCCAAGAGGACTTCATGGAATTCGGCTAACACCACAGGTTGGATGCCTCAGCTTTCCAAGAACTTGATGAAATGTTAAAATGTTGTCTTTTACTCCAGTATATGAAAATGATGTCCTTCAAAGTTATTTTCCCATAATCGTCTAGTCTCACCCATTACCCATTACTAGGCTGCTACCTGACCTAAGATAGGTTGCAGTGGCACTACAACCACCAAAGCATAGTAAATTCCCCAAACAGCCTAGGCTGAAGACCACCAAAACTGAATTAGTCCCAATTCTAGGACAATGACTGTTGTTGTTATGGGTTCCTTTGCTTTAACCTTTCTTCTACATATTGTTAGCAGCCTCGGGTCAGGAAAAAATAATTGTACCCTAGAGATACTGCCACGTTATGCGGGGTGTGGTGCTTGCCTCTGGTGAGTAATTTCTAATGTCCTTTGCAATTTAACAACTCAGCTGCTATGAGTGGAATTATGCGTTATGAGGCAAACGTAAGTGCTTTGTAAAGTTAATGAAGAGCATTCAACAATATGCCTTGCCTACCATAATGGAGTGAATTCAGGAACACCAAGCCTTCCATGTCACGTGTGAAACACATGATGCACAAGGCTCGGGAAATGGTTGAAATCTGAATTATATGGATTTCTTCTGGCTTAATGGCAATTTGGTTGTGAAAGAGCATATTTGCAAAATCCAGAGGCTGGGGATTCAGATTGTTTAAGTTTTTCATTTTGTTTTGTTTTCTTCCACATCAAAGGACTGCCTTCCTTTATTTGTTGAGGACTTATGACGATTACTGGGGAAAGCAAGCCTGTATTCAATTCTAATAATTTTGCAGGATAGAAGAAAGAGAAAATGCATGGATCCGTGGCATTTGCAGGGAGGTTTATATTAGAAGATACTTCATCTCCTGATGATTGTTTTCTT